ATATATAATTGAACGTAAAATTATATTATTTAATTTATTAATAATTAATATAAATATAATTAATATAAATTGATCAAATTAAATTAATTATATAAAATAGTAATTTATCTCTGGTAATAGTAACTTAAAAAATTGAGCATATATTAATATATATTTTATAATATATATAATTTATTTATATTTTATTTATATTATATTTTATTTATAATATTTATATCTAATATTTTAATTCTATATATTATAATGTGCATAATAACGTAAATATATATTTCTATTAATTATTATAGTTAATCCTAATTCTCTATTCACTAATAATTACTTTATAAAATGAATTATTTTTACAATATTGCAGAAATTTTTATTAAAAATGCAAAAAAATATGTATAACTGCACTGAAAGTAAGAAATGGTGACTATTTCAATGAAACAAAGATTTTAATATTATATAAATATTCTGTAAGTTTCATATATTTTTTTTAATTTTAATTTTCTAATTTTCTAAATTTAGATTTCTAGTAAAACCGATTTATTTTTGTAAATTTGTCACGAAAATATATATTACCGTCAATTTATTTTCTCCATTTATTTCGAAAAGTTATGAAGTTTTCTACCAGTTGTTAAATTATTTTAACTGATAGTTTATTTCTTGCTCTTAAAGAAATACGTATAAATGTCTACTACTATGTGTGTATATGTGTTTTTGTGTGTGTGTGTGCATTCTCGCGAAGTGTAACATTGTATGCACGCGTTTATTACAACAACTCAACATAGAAAAGGTAATTCGATCAACTGTGAAGTTCATTTTAACCTCGCACGAGCTTTTAATAATTCATCATAATTCAGACAACGTATTGTAGAAATTTTGTCTCGTTTTATTCATTAATTCTCATTATTTTGACGTTTAGTTAAACATAATTTTTTTTTTTTTTTTTTGGTTCGGAAAGTCGTTTCGTTTTTTGCTGACGCAATAATGGTTGCATTAGTTGATGCAAACTGACAAANTAATTTTTTTTTTTTTTTTTTGATAGAAATCCATAAATTTTAATAAGGACTATATCAAAGAAATGGTTCGATATTTTTTTTGTTTTTTAATTAAAATTTTCCATTGTATTTTATATTGGTCTTTTTTTGTTTCATTTTCTTTTATTGTACGATTATAATTATAAATATTGATTTTATTGTTTTCTTAGAAAAAACAAGATCTATTTTATTTATTATTCAAACGAATACATAATCAATTATTATTTGAATTAAATTATGGGAAATATAAATTTTAACTTTTCATCGTTAGATTTTACTTTCCAATTATGATTACGAATATTAATTTGATATATAAAAAAGAAATTAAATATTTTATTTATTATTCAGTACCAAATTAATTATTTGATAGAATTGTAAAACATATAATTTGTTGTTTTCCATTAATTAGATTTTTATTATACGATTAAAATTATAAATATTATTTTATTATTTTGTGAAAAATAAAATTAAAAATAAAATTTAAAAAAAATAATAATTTGCTTATACGATCAAAACCATTAAGAAGTTAATTATTATTTACATTTCAATTAAAAAGACACACACAAAAACTATATTATCTTTTATCGAATACTTATCATTCGATTATAATTACAGTATAACATAGTTATGCACAAACTGTTGGTTAATTTAGTGTTAAGATATTCTCGCTTCCGCGATACATTGCGACATGGTTAATAATATAAATGCAATTTCTACATACATATATGACTATTAATATAATCTTCCTGTGCAATTTTTAACTATGATTCCAACGATTTCGTGATAAAGTCTTGTATAATATATTAATGATGATGCAATAAATACACATATGATAAATCTAACCAACCACATGATGCAATTTATTAATCTATTTCAGTGAAAATAAAACTATTCATTATCATTCGTTCGTTTACTTTTAAAAAGGGTGAAAAATCTCATCGTTCTTAAAAATGATGATGATAATAAAATCATTTACAATATTGGCACATCATTATACAATGATAAAAAATGTGTACAGAGTATAATACATGTAACTTGTTGCACGAAGATCGTATATAATTAGAAAAAGGGAACACATTAGGCTAAGTTAAGATATTCTGGGAATTCAGTGCCGTGTTTTGAAATTCTTGGCCCGTTTCGACGCGTGGCAAATTCGCTCCTTATATAATTTTCATATTATATTCATTGTTAACTTACGCCACACTCTACTGTACGATTTTAATTCATACGCAAGCAAACAGATCTCATGAATGCTCTCATATATATATGTTAATTATATTATATATTTATTTTTATATTATTTATTATATATATATATATATATATTACAATAAAAAAATATGTATTATATTTATATTTATAATTATATATTAAATATATATTTTATAAATGTATTTTAAGGTCAATCAAAAGTTCGTGAATTTTTAAATTAATATTTTCAAAAGTAAATCATATACAAAAACAATCTTTTACCAAAATTTATAACACAATAAACTCACGAACTTTTGATTCACCCTAATACATATATATATATATATATATACAATTTATTATAATTTTTGTTTACAATAGCGTTTATTTTTCCACAAAGAAGTTTAATTGGTCGAGTATAACCTCCCGTTATCTTATACCGATAACAACATAATCGCATAAGGAAATGAAGAAATAGATTTCGACCGTGGAAACATTTTTAAACAACGCAAAATAGTAATGTTTAATGAAACTATTCCATCTACAGTTTTTATGTTGCATTTATTATTTTTTTGTTAATTTGCAAATCACGAAAAGGTCAGTTGGTCGTGGTCAAAAGAGTCGTGAACCAATAATAACGTTTACATATTAATCGGAAAATATACATAATCTCGTATGTATGTTGATAATATTCAAATGGTTGATATTATTGTATAATATTTTTTTTTTTGTTATAACTATGACATACTTGATTACATCTGAAAAGTCGTCAGATAAGTTTGATGTTTACGTTTCCTTTTACAACATCAACACCCTTCCTTATCTGATTGTTTGTTTGTCTATCTGTCTGTCTGTCTGTCTATCTCTCTGTCCGTTTTCTTCTCGTTATGTTTGTCATATATTTTTTGTTCATTGCAATTCCGGGGTAATTATCACGATACGAAGAAAAAGAAAAAGAAGAAGGAGAAGACGATGAGAGTCTCGATAACATAATTCCTTTCTTGATCTTGAGATCCACGATCATCTGTGACGTAAGTGCACTGAAACAGCTTAAGGCATGCTAGTGACCTTGAATTTTCCTCGCGTGCCAAGATTACGTCCATTACGTTCGAGTCTCAAACAATTATATATAGCTACTTCTTCTTTTTCTTCTTCTTCTTTTTCTTCTTCTTCTTCTTCTTCTTCTTCTTCTTCTTTTTCCTCTTACTCTTTTTCTTCATTTTCCTCTTAAGTATTAACGATTTTTGTAACAATTCTTTTTTGTTCTTTTTTTTTTTTTAATTTTATAATTATAAAATTATGAAAAAAAATTTTTATGTTTTTTCTTTACTGCAATAAAAATTGTCATTGAAATATGTGGTACATTATGAATTCAATCTAATCGTATTTTATGTACTATGCTCAAAATTAGGATAAATTTAGGGGTATATTTATAATTTAAAGGAGATAGTTTAAATTTAATGCGTTAAATATCTAAAAATATATAATTGATATTAATATAAATTTTGATTGTATATTGAAAAATGACATTTCGAATACATACATACATATTAAATTATATATTCAATAAATATATATTTATAAATATACAATAAAACAACTTGAATAATTTTTCTTTACTGATTTAAAAATATTTTGAGTAGTATGAAAAGTTTCTGCCATCTGATTGATATTTTTAATATTTAGTAATCCCTCAATTTCCCCCTCAAACGCGTAAAAGGAACCATGGAGAGTTGTCAGAATATTTTTTAATCGTGTGAATTGTAGTTTCATTTAAATAATACAATCGAATAACATTATACTGTTTTTGAATGTCGTAAAAAAATGACGGGTCTAATATGTCTGGAATATTATAAATTTAACTTTTAAACTTATCCTTGATTCTTGCACTTTAGTTAATCATTTTATTAACAGTTTGCTTATGTCATTATTTATTGATATGACATCTTTTTTATTGCACTATTAATTTTCATTATAAACCTGCTGATAAATTTATACAATCACGATTAAAAATTATACTAATAGTAAGGAATTCCTGAATTGTTGTTTTCACATAACAAATCTTGATGAAATATCTGGGTTCTTCTAGTAACTTAGGCACGTTAAAGTGAATTAGCGTAATTGAAAAAATTAGTCTAGGTACACAGAGTTTTTCTCTAAATCGGCAAAAACTTTCCAAGCATTCAAATGCATAATTTTATGATTTTCTGAAATTTTTTTACATATATTTGAATAAAAATATATTCAATATATTTAAATAAAATTTGAGTCTGTATATTTATAAACCAACATAAACTTTTCATAAATCCAATAATATAAATATTTCCCCTACATATATTTAATTACTTCATCTACTTTAAAAAATTGTAACAATTGTAAGATTATAGATTGTACTAAATTTTACGATTGAATTAACTTTAATTAAATAATTCTACCAACGAATTTTTAATATCAAACAACGAAATTCCAACAACCGAAGATGAACAAGTACATTCATTTAAAGAATATTAAATAAAAAATACATTTAACAAAATCTTTCTTATATATTTGTCTGAAATAGGTTACTTGTCTTTATTTATTATAATAATTTAAATGAACAAATATGTGTGATTTTTTTCACATGTACTATATTGTACTATCAACTTCATGTAATGTTACAATCATGCCGAGTATAGTAAATAATTCGAGAATTTGTATAAAACTTAACATACACTTATATATATGCAATTGACATATTTTACATTCGTATGTAATAATAATATAATTGTGACAATGTTTTGTTTGTTTTAGATGTCGATCTTCAGCAGCAAATCGAAGTATCTATGGGAATGCCACCTTCTCAAGGTACTGTCACTGCACGTGCTCAACTTGCACAACATTGTTGCGCATTGGCACGCGAACAAACGAGAATTTGTGAGAAATTGGTTCACGATCAACATCTCCAGCAACAGGGTTGGTTTGCGGTTGTTGCCAATCTTGAGGATATTACAAAAATGTTTCAAACAAGAGCCGAAATATTGCAACAAAGTTTCGATGTTTACCTTGCCGAGAGGCAACAACATATGCAGCTTCTTAATAAGTAAGTTAACTTATAATTTGAAGTTGCTAATATGTGTTAATAAAAACACTAATAATTAATAATAACACTTAGAATTGAAGGGTTAACGAAATAAGGTTAAATAGTGACGAATTGAATCTTGTTCAGGGATGAAATCATTATTAAAATTTTATATTTGTAGCAATGGATTTTTCAGTTCCTAACACCATTTAATAATAATAATAATAATAATAATAATAATAATAATAATAATAATAATAATATACGTGGATTTAACAAAAATATTATTTTAAAAATAAAAACTTTGTTGATATAGCTTCCAACAAGATTTGGAAACTTTGGCAAAAATTCCAATATTACCTGCGTTAAGGGCTCACGCGGAAGGTCTTTTGAGTCCGGAAGATCAAGAAGACAACTTGGAACAGCAGTTGGAGAAGAATGAGGAAGTTTTGAGTCTGCTTAGATGGATTTCCGCGAAGGACAATCAGAGTAGTTTAGAACAAGTGGCTGAGCAATGTAGTCGAGGTTTGGAACAATTCGATGAAAAGGCAATGGCTTCGTTAAAGGCTGAAATAACTACAGCTATTACGAATTCGAACAAAACGGACATGAAAGAAATAAAGGGTCTTGGTCAGAGGCTTTTTGCTTTGGAAACCTTACTGACAACAGCGAGGAGATGTGTGGTCGATCAAAGCGAGCTCTCACAAGGATTTCTTCAAAATGAAAAACGCGCAAAGCATATCGGTGATAAGAGTATTTTACCCGATCTCTGCAGGTCGCATCAAAATCAATTAGCGGTAATGCTTAGCAATCATAATCAAATACGTGACATTAGGCGCAAGTGTACCAAAGCAAAAGAAGAATTGTCCGGTAATATTCACGTACGTTTAAAATGGGTAATGTACGTGGAAAATAAAATGATGGAGGTTGATAGCAAACTTGTTATGTATCACGAAAGTCTGAAACGTTTAAGACGTCATCTCGAAGTATTGCAGCAAATTCACTTGGCACCCCAAATGTATATAAATGCTGTCGCCGAGGTTGTCAGGAGGCGAACCTTTTCTCAATCTTTTCTTGTATGGGCCAGTAATCTTGCTTGCCAGTTGTTGACCGCCCATACTGAAGAACTAGCTCGTAGACGCGAGTTTCATAATAAATTTGAAGGTCATTTCTTGAACACGCTATTTCCTGGTTTAGATGACACCCCACCGCCTTTTGCAACCGAAGCACCTTCGGTTTTTGACAACGCATTACCAAAGGTAAAACGTTTATATACAATTTCTTTTTATAATAGAAAAAAATAAAGACTACATTGTTACCATGGTTAACATCGTTTCAGTTAACTGCGAGCGATATGGAGTCCCTTAGATCACAATTACCTGATATAGCACTTAGTATCTCTATGCCAGATTTAAACAGTATAACGGAATTCTTTTTATCTAAAAATTTGACTGAAGCAAGCACGGAAGGGAACCAAGAGAAAAAAATTATGTCGACTCGCGTAGAGGATTCTTCTAAAGAGCAAGACCGTATTAGAGCACCTGCGCTGGGTGACAGGTAAATATATAACATTTGCTATATATAAATACTTTAATCTATTTCCAATCAAGATTTAATTTGTGCAAGGTGTTATGAATATGTTTGCATTATTTCAGAGGTGGATTTGAGTCGGAAACGGATACGGAAGAGTTCGAGAAAATAGGACAAGGCGCGACAGATTCTAAACCTAGTTCCTTCGATGGCACCCAACAGAAAAAGCAGAAACAATTGGAGGTTGGTGCCTCGCGAAGCGTGTCCCCTGCTTCTTCCAGTTCGACTAACGTCTCACCATTAAACACGAAGATCGCAGATCTAACAAGTCGATTATGTACATCGAACGAACCCAGTTCCTTCCATTTTCCTAGTCTTACCGTCAGTGAACGACCCACTCAGCTAAGTCCTCTCACCGAGTGCGCGGAAAACGGTGAATCTTCTTCCAGTCAGTTGCAAAGTGCTGCTGCTGCAAACGGGTACCCAAAGAATCCTACAATAACTCCGTCCGTATCCTCTGACAAGACCGAGGCATCTAATTCCTTGAGTCCGAATCCTCCTACCTTACCTTCTAACTCCGTGGTGTGCGACGGCCAGCAACAGCAACTACAGTCATTCTCTGGTAGCGGGGCTAGCAGCCCTTCCATCGGAGTTGGTGCTACTGACTTCGTGGGTACCGAGTTTTACATGGACGATTCTTTGCCGAGCAGCCTCAGCGAACCTCCCGTCGACGGGCATCCGGCTGTCGTTTCCTTTCTTCAGGTACGGGACGACTCACAGCTCAAAAAAGACCTTGTAGTCGTAGCCGTAAACTTTTCATTACTCAACCCATTCCATCATCCCGGAAAAGCAAAAAAAGTGCCCTCATCTGAATTATATTCTGTACAATCTTTTATGTTCTCATTTATTTTACGTTGGTTCTTGTTTTACATTTTGATCCATTCCATAGGTAACGTTTCAAATACGATTATTTGTAGATGGTTTCGGTAAATATGCAGAAAAACATTTTTATTAGAAATTATCTATTTTTTGAAACAATCTCCAACATGAAGGAATGATTTTCTGTTGCAATTTTGACTGGTTCACTGGTTGTCACCTCCCACGTGACATGCGACCGCAACGACAAAGTACTGTTGTCACGTGAGAGGTGACTTACGACCGTTAAGGGTAAATTTATGAAATATAGAAAATTGATGTTTGATCTTATTTTTATCCTAATTATTTTATCCTAAATATGTAATGCAGTCGTTATTATAATTTTGTGTTTTATTAAAATTTAAATTTGCTTTTAATCGAGGAATGTGTGTATGTCTGTCTGTTTGTCTGTCTGTCTGTCTGTCTGTTTGTGTCATGTATGTAGCTTGAAGAAATAGTAATGGTCGGATATCTGTGCGTGGGTACGTGCATCTTTTCAATTTTTCAGGATAGCTGCCGTCGCACTCTCGTATCCTAATTCCTTACCTTGTTCAGAACACTGAATATATATATATATATATACATAAATGTATATATATTTATATACATACACATATACATATATACATATATACATACACGTATATATATATTCAGAGATCAAAAACACGGTTGCTTTTCATATAAATATGACATTTGTTATATTAACAACATTTATCAATGAAATAAAATAAATTTTCATGACATTAGACATTATCCTCCAAAACAAATCCTATTCTTGATTAACAAATTAATAGAGAACTATTACATTTTTTATATATATATTTATTTAATTGGGTATTATGGATTCTTTATGTTAAAAAGTAATATGAATTTATGGTAAAAATATAAATTGGATTTTCCATGACATCAATTATTTCAGGAAAGTCTTGGGAACGCACGCGAAGAGGTGGAAAGATTACGTTCGATTTTGAGGAGTATGAAAGTGGTCGTAAACGAAGCCTTAACATCCGTTCGAGAAGAATTAACAGTTTTACGAAATCGATCAGATTTTGAAAACAGCGGTATTACAGAATTAACCGAACGTATTCGTCAAGCTTTAACATTGTACTCGAACGAATACGATCATCGTTTGCAAGAACGCGAACAAGAACTAACCGTTAGTCACGAGCTTGAAATGAGTGATATAAAAAAAATAATGCATACCCAAGATGAAGAGATACGTATTGTAAAAGAAAAACTCTTTGAGAAGGAAACCGAAGTAGCGGAACAACAACATTTGATTAGTACAATGCGTCAAAAAATGGATACCGAACAAACCGACTTAAGGAATTTGCAATCGCGTTATCATCAACAAATGGATGAGACTTTGGAACAGGCTCGTATCGACAAGGAAACGGCTGTTGAAAAGGTAAATGATGAGAAGTATGTGAAAATAGCTTCTCTTACCAATTCATTAAATCAATGTCAGAAACGTATAAAAGAACTCGAAGATAGTTTGAGCTCTGCTCGTGTGGAACAACACAGAATGGTAAAGGAAGCTACGGAAAAATTGGAATTGGAGTATAAAAAGGAATTAGATTCTATTAGAACACGTTTAAAATCAACTGCGGGTAATACTATGGAAAGGAGTCCTAGTGATTCCAGTTTGGAAAAGATAGAGGTAATTTCATTTTAGTTATATAAGTATCATCGGTTCGGTCACGTTTTATCGTTATTATTTTTCAGCGACCTGATTTCATCAAACTTGTTAATCACGAAGCTATATTAGCAAAAGCAAAAGAAGAAATGAAATTAGAAAACACAGCAGCCATACGTAATGCAATTGAAAAAGAACGTGCCGATTGCGAGGCTAAATTAGATCACGAACTTTTAATGGCCAGGCAAGTGATAGAAGGTAGGGAAAGAGAGCTCGAGTTTCTAAGACAAAAGTTCACAAATTTATCAGACGAATACGAATGGCAGAAACGTACGATTAAACAATTAGCCAAATCAAAAAATGTATCCAGGCATGCGCTCAATGAAAAGGTAATAAATTAAGATACTAAATAGATTCCATTATTTTAGATTAAAATCAATACTTAATAAATTAAACGTTATTATTATTTTATTTAAAAATAGGTAGAAAATTTAGTAGAAGCAGATAAGAAGAGTCGAGATCAAAAAGAGAAGGTAGTTCTTTTAATGGATTCATCATCGCATAAGGAATTTGATCAAGATTGTTTGGATATGAGTCAAAGTAATTTAGGAGAAGCTATGAAAAGTTTGGAAAGTGATAAGGACGAAGCTGAAGCATCGGAATCAAAAAAAGTACGTTTGGAAACTGACGATGATTATTCGCGTTTATCAAGAAGACTCGAAATTCTTGAAAACGACAATAAGAGATTATCCACGGAATTAAAAATGATAATGGAAAGTAAAATAGTCTCAGATGCTAAGATCGAAGCATTGGAAGCCGATAAGGTTCGTTTGGAAATTGAATTAGTTAAGGAACGCAGCAGAAGAGATTTTGCTGAGTCATCGTCCTCCACCTCCGATATTCGTGAAAAAGATATGAACACATCCGTTGCTATTGTTTCTGGATCGTCATCTTGTCGTGAATCTACGACCAGTCGAGATGGTCTCGTACCTTACTTTCACTTGATCCAACTGTGTCAGAAGAGAAACATTCCGAAATTAATTCAACAGAGACGTATTACGGTAACCTCGTGTAATCCCGGTGACACGGTTCTTGTTATTTATGATCCCCTTCATTGGAGTTATGCGTTGCTTCAGGAATCTTCGACACTTTATTTTGTAAATTCAGATTGTCTAGAATCTCTAGGATGGACTGTCGATGGACTTCCGCAAGTAATCGAAGCTATCGCTGAAGTTATCAATAAGGAATACTGCATAGCAAGAAAGGTAAATAAATCTTTTTATAGGATTTTCATGATTTATTTCACAATTATAATGCATTTATTTGAAATTTATCTATTCCAAGATAAAAAAAAATTACAATTTTAATAATCTAAAAAAATAGATTTAAAACTGTTCCAAAGTTTGCTATCTTTTATAAATTATATATTAATAAAAAAAATTTGTTTGTTTTAGTCAACCAATCGTTATCGTGTAACCCAAGGCACTAAGTTCTACCAAGTGCGTATAAAGCCAGTAGATGAGACTGCTGAGAAATCTAAATCTCAGATGTCGAAAAGAGGCAATGCAGCAGAATAATTTCAATTTAACGCATCCTTTGGTCCTCAGTTTTTAATAAAGCTGTGGTTATGCATGAAATACAACCAGATGTGGTGCGTTACATGTTTAATGAGTAGAAGAAGGAAAGCGAGATAATAAATTCTCCAACTGTATCTGTGAAAACTCAAATCAAGATTTAAATTTACCAGAGTCTCAAGGATATATCTTCATCGTTTGTGAACATATAGATACATAAATATATATATATATAAACTACACATGCAAGGATAAGTGAATGTGATAATAATAAAAAAAAAAAGCAGGAAGAGAAAAAAGAAAAAAAAATTATTATTATAACGTGAATGGATGCGTGCGTCTCCGCGCATTGGAGTTTCACTGTGATATAAATAATTTTTAAATAAGTGAAACATAAATTGCTAAATGCAGTGGTGGGTGGTGAATTAGCTATGAAATGTCACTACATTTAAATATTCTTCTGTGTCCCTAAACTTATCCAGTAATGAATTATTTTCTTTTTTAATTTGTTTGTTTGTTCAATTTCTTCTTTATTTCTTTCATTTATTTATCATCTTCATAAACATAATAAATAGCAAAAGAAGAAAAAGAAGAATAAGAAAAAGAAGGAGAAAACAGCATATTGTATGAATGACATCAATAACAATTTTCTGTAATTTGACGATATATAGGAAGAAAAGTAAAATTAGAGCTTAAAACTTTAGTAAAAAAAAAAAAATAAAAAAAAAACCAAAAAACAAAAAAAAAATAAGAAATACAACATCAAAAATGAAACAAATACCCGATGCGGATATAAGTGAAAAAGCGAGAGTTGTATTAGTGTTCGGTAATTTCGCTTTGAAACTTCCGCATTCGAACGATTAAATTATCTTTGCACTATGTGAAAAGCTTAGTTGTAAGTTTTACAAAGAAGACATTTTGTATATATAGTTTATATTATATACATTATCGCATTACATAATTTATATATATATATATATATATATATGCATACATATTATACATATATATACATATTGTACTATATATATTATACTATATATAATATATATATATGTATGTTTATATTTATAATTATATGTGTGTGTGTGTATAATAAAATAGTATATCTCGAATATTACATATGTATATATATATATGTATAATGTATGCGTGTATGTATGTATGTCCGTATGCATATATACATCTATTTATGTATATATACATATACATATAACGTTGTAAGAAACGTGCAATATTTGCATACGAAAACATCATAGTAGGTCCTAAGAGAATATAGTAAAGAAAAATTTTGTAAACAAAAATAATCCTCTCTCGTAAATGTGTTTATACACAATGCAATTTCGTAATATTCTCTTCATAAAGATTTTCGGTAACTCTTTACGTATAAGATGACCTATTAGAGTCGTTCTTTTTATTCCTTTTTTTTACTCTTTTTTTTCTTTCTATTACTTTTCCTTTTCCGCGACCTCTTTCGATAACCGGCCTGTTTCGTGAATTTTTTTATCGCGAAATATTTCCCACTGCTTCTTTTGAACAGAAGAAAAGAATTACAATGTCTCTTACAATCGTTATATCCTTAGGTTTATTTAAAAGAGAACAAAAAAAAAAAGATAGACAAGAAAACTCATAGAAGAAGATAATTTAACTTAAACAACGCGCGAGTTTTTTGCAATTTTTTTCTGGATTTTTCTGATAACGAACGCAAATAAAAAACTAAACTATGAAAAAAGAAAAAAAAAAAGAAAAAAAATGAAACCAGAAAATACTAGAAAGAAGAAAAAAAAACAAAATGAAAAAAAAACTATTGTGCGCATTATAGAATGAATTTTATAAATGTATGTATGTATACACATACACACGTACATTCGCGTATATTTTTTTCTATTAATCTGATCGATGTCCATGCGATCGAGGTCATTTACCTTATATGATAATTATAATGATAATAATATTAATATTAATAATAATAATAATAATAATATTAATAATAAAAAAAATAGATGATAATTGCAAAATGAAATTTAAGTCTCTTAGAGAAAAAAGAAGCGGAATTTCTCACTTGGCAACTCGTATATATATATATAAATATATATAAAAACATATATGTATTTTTTTTTTATTAATTACAATTATCCTATCGTTACTTACCTGCCGTCGATTATATTATTTGTTTGTCCGTGTACACATTTACAAAAAAAAAAGATGATATTCTTGGTAGTATCGCTACAAGTAGCTGTGATCGTTAGTTTCTCAAAATATTTTCACTTCTACTTACTTATTCTTATTATTATAATTAATTAAACGTTAATTCCAATTGTCAGAAATAAAGGAAAAAAAAAATAAAAATAAAAAAACAATAAAATAAAATAGAATAACATAATTGATCGATCGTTCGAGTGCGTTGTTCTCTCCCTTACAGTTAGATTTAAAAGAATAGAAAAAAAAGAAAGGAAAAGAAATGAAACTAAACAAAGTAATTTTTCTTTCTTTTTTTTTTTTTAATTTCTTGTAAAAGAGGAAAGAACCAATTAAACTCATTCGAACGTATCGGTGGGGAGGGGGAAGGTGTTCTTTGCGTATGTAAACATATAAAAACATAAGCGAAGGATCATTATTATTTTTTTTTTTTTTTAAACGAAGCAAACGTAGATGTAGAAAATGAATGACATATTGTTTGTAAAAATATGTGCTAAAGATTTCAAAATGACGCCGTTTGTCCTAAAAATCGTAAGCTCGAATTTGTAATCGAGAAAAACGATTCGTCGACTTCGATTTTTAGCTCATTGATGATGATGATGATGATGATGATGAAGATAATGATAATGATAACGATGATAATGATGATGAAGATAATGATGATGATAACGATGATGATGATGATGAAGGTAATGATGATGATGATGATGATGATGATGATGACGATGAAGATAATGATGATGACAATGATGATAATGATGAAGATAATGATGATGATGATGATAGCTACATAATCACTCTCTCGACTCGTCAAGAAGAAAGAAAGAAATAAATGAATAAAAAAATAAATAAAAAACAAACAAACAAACATATTCGTGCTCGAGCATGAATAATAAATGCTTATTCTTAAATAAATGGAATAGCATAGCAGGAATTTAGTATGAATTTCGTTGAGGAGCAATGGATGACCTATATTTCTCTCTTCTTTCACTATTCTTTCATTATCTATCACATTTTCAATTACATTATATAATATATATATATACATATTTATATCTCCGACACTCTTAGTCTCTTCAACGAATCGTTATAAAATAAAATAATATTTTTCCTCTCTTGTTCTCGTCGTGGCTGAGATGAATATTTGACAACGAGGCTTTGTTATATATACATATATATTTTTTTTCTTTCATTTAAAGAAAAAAAAAAGAAAATGAGAAAAAGAAACAATCTATCATTAATTATAATATCGATGTTGCACGAGAATATATATTATAAACAAATAGTTGATTATTCACGTGCACGCGATCTACGGTTCCTATTAGCCCTATTTTTTCGATCTGTTAAAAAATGCAAAAAAATAAATAAATAATAAAAAGGGAAAAAAAAGAATAATAGAAAGAAAGAAAGAAAGAAAAAGGACAACCGTTCGCTCGGCTTTTATTATTGAAATAATATTAACATTATTAATAATAATAATACTAATAATAATAATACTAATAATAACAATAATAATAATAATAATTAATATTAAAAAGAACCTCTAACAAGTAGAAAATACGCAGACACGCACGTTATCATACACCGTCTCTTCTCTCTCATCTATGTTTAAATAATATATTAACTTTCCGAAAGAATTTAACTCGCTGCTACGGGCTAAGGTTTATTCAAAATGCTACGTAATATTTTAAAGGTTGAAAGAAGATGGTCTTTACTAATTTAGCTTATAGATCCGTTTAGATGTCAATGATATATGTACGTCTGACGATGATAAGCTTAATTACAAATTAATTGAATAAAGAGGGGGAAAAAAAGTTGATCGGAGAGAATGATGATGATAATGATGATGATGATAATAATGATAATTATGATGATCGAAGAGCAGATATTTCATTGTTCCATTAGTTTCCTTTTCAATGTCTGCTAATCACTTCTTATCGTATTATTTTAAATGGATCTCATCGAAATAGTATACGTCAAACTATAGGATTGATTGCATTCTATTGATTTATATTATTTACAATTAGCAAGAGATGTATTTATTTAATAAGAGGAATTGCACTTCGACGATTGCAATTAAATATGTGTTGTTGATCATCAAGGCCATTATTTGTTTGTTTGATTCTTTTTTAATGTTGGTTTCTTTTGCTGGTCCATAATATTTATTTGATGACGTATTTAACCTTCATATAATTACGGAATCATTGTTAGATTAATTATAGCATTGTGCGAAATTTTCATTGCAACCACGCACACGTATTAGAATATACGTACACACACATACACTTTGGCAAACGTTTAATCGCAACGTCGTTGACGGTCACTCGTCGTTGCGCTTTACGTTTTCCATCGTGGAACGAATGAATTAATTTTTTAAAATAATAATAATCATTTTTAATGCACTATACAATCACTTTGTGAAAAAATTGTTGAAAAAAAAAAAAACGATGTCGAAGAGAATGAATCTTATTGAATAATAACGTTATCTCTCTTCTCAATGTTATTTATTTATTAGTAGATATTATTATTATTTTTTTGTTATTTCTTTCTTTCTTTCTTCGAATAGAAATTTCGATTACGCTTCGACTTTTCTTTTTTTTTTTTTTTTAATTTATTTATTTTCTTTTTGTTTAATTTTATCGACACGTTAGCTCGCTAAACTAACGAATATTTCCAATGGAAATTAGATAATTTGAACGAATCGGAAATATTTAATTAAGAATGAATGAGAAAAACAAATGATGTTTTTGTTTGATTGTTTGTTTGTTTGTTTGTTTGCTTTTCGAAGATACATCGATATTTTCATTGCGAGGAGAATTACGAACGTTTGATAACAAGCTTTTGTATTTTTATTTTCTCTTTCTTTCTATTATTATTATTATTATTATTATTACTATTATTATTACTATTACTATTACTACTACTATTATTTTATTTACTTCAATTCAAACGTTCGTAATTCTGCTATCATTAGTTTTCTTGATAAATCTTTGATCGCGAACTCGTCGAGACAAAATAATGACTTTTTTAATTAAAGTCATGTTTTATCAAATTTTGAATATCGTAGTAACGTGCCTGTAACGAGCACGTAAATGCACGAGTATTACATTACCGATAAGAAAAAAAAAGAAAAAAAAAAAGAAAATGAAAATAAAAAAAGGTAGAATTATTTCCTAAATTGTCGAGAGAGAGACAACGACTCGTGTGCCTGATCAAAAATGGCCGATCAATCGAGTTTAATTAATCAGCAAGAAATAAACAAAAATTAAATTTAAAAAAAAGAATAAAATAAAATTAACGTGTTACGAGCGCGATCATTATTCAACGTTGTGGACCATTTAAACGAGGATAAAATTAAAACGAAAAAGAAAAAAAAAGATTATTAAAAATACAAAATAAAGAGGAGGGGTGGGGGGAGGGCACATAATACGAGAGGCGATAATAAAATCAGAATAATATTGTATTGTCCTTATCGTTAAATATACGATACACTCTCGTAATAAAATGACAAAAAAAAAAGAAAATAAACAAAAATTATATAAAATACACGGAGGAAAAAGTTTTGTGAATCTTCTTTCCAACCTATAGAAAAACAAAAAAAAAATAGTAAAATAAGTTATTTAAAAGAAAAAAAAAATATTAAGAAAATTAAGTTATTGCGTGGATGGGTGCGAAGTATGGTCTCGGAGCCACAGTTTTCAGAAATATTTTGTAAATGATATTGCGTATAGTAAAAAAAAAAGGCACGGACACACACATAAAAAAAAAAAAACAAATAAAAAAATAAAACACACCAAAACAATATAGATATATTTATATTCCAAAGAGAAAAAAGAAGTAAAGACCCAAAACGAGAAGTGTGAATTCTAAACAAAAATAAATAAATAAGTAAATAACTAATTAAATAAATAAATAATAATAAAGAAAAACAAAAAAAAAACGACGCAATCTCGATTTTTTTTAATCCGACCGATGTAAAGTTCGAGAAAAGAATAAAATAAAATAAAATAAAATAAAATAAAATAAAATAAAATAAAATAAAATAAATTAGATTAAAAAATAGGAGAAAGAGCTATTCCCTCGCTCATACTTTTTCTTTATTTTTTAGCGATTCTACGACTACTAATGTTTGAATTTTTGTCTTTTACTTTTTTTTATTTTTTACTTACGATTAAATATCCAACAAAAGTATGTAGAGATAAATATATAACGTTGTGTGTGTTTGTTTGTGACGTAATGTGTTATGAATATTATTCGATTGATGTAAGATTATTTCTTTCTTTTTTTGTTCTATTTTTAATTAACCCCCCCCCCGTCCTCTCTCTCTCTCTCACTCTTTTTCTTTTTCTCTCTCTCTCTCTCTTTTTCTTTCCTCTTGAAATTTTTGGAAAAGAAAAACCACGAGAAAGGAACTCTAAATAGTATAAGGGATAGAAAATCGATGAGAGACAGATTAATATATTAATCTATTAGTTTACTAATTTGTTGTTTGTCTCTTTTTCTTTTTGACAATAAATCATAATTTCGTAAAAAGAAATCTTTACGAAAAGTAAGATTAACCTCTTAGGCACTACGCGTCACTATAGTGACTTTCGCGGATACCATCTTCCAGTACGACGCGTCACTATAGTGGCTTTCGCGGATGACATTTTTAAAAATATATCATACCTAATTGTATTATTAATTATTAAAGTAAATTGTTAAAGTTAAAATATATGCAATATATTTTAAAGAAAAATTATAATTTAATCATTAAATATTTTATTTTAATGTACTCGCATAGAGAACGACATAGTCTGTTGAACCCTGCCATACAGAGAAACAGCTCCGCGCAAAATTCAGCCGTGCCTAAAAGGTTAATTATATCTGTGACATGAGCTGTGGCAATTTACAAAATTTTAAATAACAAAAGAAAGTTCGCAATGATGATGATGATGATAATGATAATGATGATGATGATGATGATGATGATGATGATGATGATGATGATGATGATGATGATGATGATGATGATGATGATGATGATGATGATGAT